GGAAGTTGTTAATTCATACTTTGGTGATAAAAATGCTCTCAAAATTTGAGTAATCATTATTGAAGAAGGCGGGTGTACCAAAGTTTCTAAATCTGTTTGATAGCTGTAAAAAACAAAGAGGAGCTTAAAGATAAATTTTAGAAACATCTTCAGGTTTCAACTGGTAATCGAACAAGTTTTGATCTTTTAGGTTCTACCTTTCTCATTAATGATTTCTCAAATGTCTGAAAAAATGTTTTCTTGGGTAACGGTTTAATTTGCAACCCACAATGTGTAGATGTTTGTTCTTTAATTCTGATAGAAGTTCTAAAATTTTATACCGTCTGTTTCAAAAATGGCTGATGATTTTGAAAATCAATAAAAAAAGAACGGAAGGCCACAAAATCGTATGGTTTAGGGGATTACGAAATTTTATTCTGCTATATTACATATTTAGTTAATTTTCTCTCCAATAGGTGGCGGTGCAAGCATGTGAGTGCAGCCAGAAAAATTTAATTCCTGACATTCTCAATCGGTAATTCGTCAAGCAAACACTTATCGCTTGTGAAAGATTTTTATGATTTACCCTTTAAAATGGTGAATATTCATCGTTTAGGGGTATCACCGCCTGGAACACAGCTGTGTACACTATTCTCCGTCCCGCAGTGGATTGATTGTTAAGACACGGTTCCCAGCAGATCACCGAAGTCAAGCATCACTGGCTGCGGCCAGTGTGCGGGTGGGTGACCACTTGGATCAGTCTGCGTGGGGATCGAGGGTGTGCGGTATTGGTCCTCGTTAAACTGTTCTACCGTAAAGTGCTCGAATTCGCGTGCAGGTAGTCGGGCTGCCGAAGCAGGGGGAGCCATCCCCTCAGCAGAGGATCAAAATTGTGATGGCATGTCTTCGGATCATCCTCAGGGATGTTTCCCAGACCGTCGCCAATCGCCCATTGTGCAGCTTTAGTGTGACGTAAAATGAACTGCAGCAACAACAACATTATTCTGCAGCGCCACCTGTTAGCGGAAGTTAAACCAATTGTGCAATTCGGTGGAATGAAATTCTTTAATTTCTCAAGCTCAGCAAATCATAAATTTTTTTTCGCGTTCCGTTTTTTTTAAATTGATTTTCAAAATCCATCTGTCATTTTTTGGGACACTTGATACTAATAAAAAGGCAATACTTATGGAGCATCGTGCAATGTTTCAAATGTTGCTTTTTCTTGATGTATAAGCCCTCAATGAAAATTAAAATTTTGCCCTGTTTAAATTTTTCAATTTCTAAAAATGGTTAATGGAGGTAACCCGTTGTTTTACTGGATTGTCTCGGATGCTTCAGTATATTTATAATATTTCTAACTATAATAGTCACGTATGAAAACCGCGAAAGTTTTTCAGAACTGCAATCCAATTTTTTACTTACAAAACTAACTTTGACTCAAAAGTTTACTGGAAAAATTATTTATCGTGTATTTTATTCGGCATGAGTATCATAAATTTAAATTCTTATGAAAATTTAGAAGACCTTTAAAAATAAAAGTAAGAAATAAAACCTATTAGTAAAACAAGCAATGATTTAAAAATAAAAATTAAAAGTGTTTTATTGATTTATTCGTATTTTACAATTATTTATGAAATTTAGGCAGGTCCCTGAGTTAGACCTAATATTTTAAAAAAGGTGTTTTGTAATCACTACCTTTAATATGCATTATTAAAATCCTTAAAAAAATGAATACGCATAAGGGATCGCAAATGAATATTTAAGCGAGGAAAAATTAAAGCGATGTCAAAACCTACCAAATCATTATTGAGGTAAGAAAGCTTACAAACATCAAAATCAGTTAGATTGCTGGATGAAACTAATAATTTTCTTCACCTTATCTCAGTTTCTTCTGTCAACCTAATAGGTTTTGATGTTTCTATACTAGTTTTGTTGTTAATAATTCGCCAGGTTTTGATATCGCTATCCTTTCCTAATTATTAATTTGCGGCCCTGAATATACTTTACTTAGAGTAGAAACACATTACTTACTAAGAGTTTT